TTAGTGTAAAAATATTTGGGAAATAATAATATGGATGACTATAATACAAAACATGTGAAAGGAATGGAATCCATTTTCCAGATTGGCCTCTTAGCACACCCCAGCTGAAGAAAGTTGTGATTTCCTATGAAAAGTCGCCTGAGTGTCATCACAGGGATCAGTAATTCCTTCTCTCTTTCCTCTATAAAATGAATCCAATAAAACCTTCCCCTCCGTGTCCCAGAAGACACACACACACACACACACACACACACACACACACACACACACGGAGATCTCTCCTTAAGGTGGTACACACACACACACACACACACACACACACACACACACGGAGATCTCTCCTTAAGGTGGTGTTGCCCCAATAGAACCTGGCGTTTTTTAAATTCTGTCTTCCTACCCAAACAGCAAAGGAAGTCCTTTACTTGGGTATTTTCAAAGGATTTTTTAACCTTCATTTTTTTATTATTTTTTTTTTACCAGGAACGGGGCAGGGCTGAAAATGTTAGATTATCCTTCCTGCCAAGCCAGACTTTGGTAGAGGCTTGTTTTTTTTTTTTTTTTTTCCCTGCTGGTCACTGGGGAACTCAAATGTACAGTCAGACGTGCAGAATGACTCTCAGAAATGCACCGAGTCGAAAGGGAAGTGCAGGCCAAGTTAGACTAGGATTTATGTAACATCAGCAAGTGACACCAAGCAGACACCAAGTCTGCTCTAGGAATTTCCTAGGAGCCTTGGGCCACCCACGGGGGCATTTCCTAGGTTAAACAGACCGTCGGATTTCCTGCCCCACTCTCAGTTGTGAATCCACCCTCAGGTTTGGCTCCTTCACGACCGCTTCCTTCTACCCTTCTCACATGGGCCACCCTACACCTAGCGATCTCCAAAGATGATGGACTGCCGTTCTCACCATCCCAGACGGGTCCGCAATCCAACAAAATTATAGACCCCTAAATTAGGGACTGCCGCCTTATATTGGTAGGTTGCATTAAGACAGAAAGAAATTGAGGTCGATTACTCGCCTCGGTTTTAATCCAGTCCAATTTGCATTTTCGGGGGGGGGGGAGGAAGGAGAGCTAGTGGAGAGAATGGTTGTGAACCAAAAACTCTTTCTGTTATACGGTACTACTCTCCTTGCTCGTGTTTCACCCCCCCCCTTTTTTTTTTTTTAGAAAAACTAGACGACTAAGGTTGCCAAATGCTCTCCGGACAGCATTTGCCCACACCAGTTTTTGAAAAGGGTCGCTAGACCGCCCCAATTCTTCCAGATCTCCGAGGATCGAATCTGTCAGACAAAGAAGTGGGGGACTTGGGCTGCAATCAATTTCCTCCTAAAGGAGTCCGAACGAGACTTCTGTGGACTCTAATGAAGAGGCGGCGACGGGCGTCTTCGGAGAGCCATTTCTATCCTGTCCGCAGTCTGATATAACGAACGCCGGCTAGGCAAGCAGTGGATTGCCCTTCCAGGACTGCGCCAATCTCGGCGGAGTCCCCGAACAGCGAGAATGAAAAGCGAAGGCCCTCCGCGCAGGGCAGAATTGGTCGTTTTTATAGCAGAACTCCGTAGAGCCTTGTATTGCTACTCTCTGTTGCCCCTTGGAAACTGGCGATTCAAACCCCAGTCCAAATATTTGGGTGGCGCTCACTTTGAATAATAAAGTCTGATTCGATTCTTCCAGTTGTCAGCAGAATTAGGCACTCAAAGGATGGTGCCCTAAGATAAAATGCCAGGTGGTCGGTCCAATACTTACCAAGGTGTCTCTTCAAATACTTCCTGAGCAAAAGTCCCCCAATTGGAGGTCCGGGGTAGGGAAACAGAAGGTTGAGAGATCTTTAGCAGTTCCCGCCTAGCTTAAAGGTTGAGCAAACAAACGGGATATAAGAAAATGGAAGCTCGGAGAAATTTCAGAGGAATAATATTTTGGAAAGGCCAAAAGCAGAGAACGTGATTTTTTTTAATAGTGCCTTTTGATGACCTCCCCACAGAACCTTGGGTTGGCTTTTACATTTCTCCCTACCAAAAGGCAGGCTGTCCAAAGTGCGGACAGATCCTAGGGAACCACACCGCGGTACAGTACAGAACGATTGTCGGCAAGGAGACGGGCCCGATTATTCCAGTCTATCAACCTCGTGTTCACTAGTCGCAAAGAAACTGCCACTTTTTCTGGGATTCCCTTACTCTTGGATAGGATGTGAACAGGGTGTTCTGATCTTTAGAGCAAGTTTGTTATCTTGTTAACTTATCACTCTATATCTGTGGTTTTTTTTGTTTTTTTTTTAAACAGATCCCCTTCCATACACATTTCTTCTTGGCCTTTCGGTTTACTTTAGGTACGGGGTTGGTTTTGTTTTGTTTTAAATCGGGAGTGCCATTTTCAATGAGGGGGGGGGGCAGGGTGATAGGCTTTTCTTTGGGTATTGTTTCACGCTGATTTCAGAAGCTTCCTTGGGTATTGTTTTGGGATTGTTTTTAATCATAAAGTGGGCTAAGCATTCTATTGAATTAAAACATAATGAATTGGCCAGCGTTTGGAAACAAATCCAATTTCTAGCATAGACGAAACCAAGCGTAGCCCCCACCTCTTTCCTAAAACAGCAGCAGAAAATAATCTCCAACGGTCAAAGGACCTGAGCGTCCAACCGAAGTAAAGGCTTTTAAATAGTTTGAGGAAAGTGACAAAGAGGTGCGCTGCATGGTCCTAAGCAGGGAAGCCCCCACAGGCTCCTGCTTCCGAAGTAACACAGCTTATCTGAAGCCCCAGCATAAGGGCGTCTTCAGCCGGGCAATCCCAGCAGATATCCGTCTTCCTGAATTCCCGGGCAGGAAGTCTTGGGTATACCTGACTAGAGCTGCCCAAATCCTTGCTAGATCTAGCCATAATCACAATCATAACTTGGCCAGTTTGTGATAAGTCAAGTTGTCTCTTGGTTCAACTGCCTTCTTTCACTACCTCGAAATGCTGGGCTTCCCTTACAGGGACACTAACCTACATTTGGACAAAGCTTCTGCCTCCTGCTTGCTCTCCTTTTTCCTAAATTTGAAAGGCACCTTCGGGCACTGCTGCGATAGAGCAGTTCCTTAGTATTGAGGGAACATGCGTAAATGTTGCCTGTTCATAAAAGCTCAGTGGCTCTGGGATAAATATTTTCTAAGAGAAAGGGGGGGAGAGGGAGAGGGAGAAGGAGAAGGAGGAAAGGGAGGGAGGGAGAGAGGGAGCGAGAGAGACAGAGGGGGGGAGAGAGAGAGAGAGAGAGGGAGAGAGAGATTCTAACAACCAATCAAAAGAAATACATTTCTGTGATAGAATTTTATCTAAATTGGTTTGATGCACGTTTCCCAAAAGATTTCTCAGAAAACTCTGGGGGAAAGAACGACCTACTCCTAAGAAGAAGAGGAATGCAATCTTTTTTTTCCCCTGTTGTATTTGGAGACGTTTCTAGTATAATTGCTTCAATGCTTTCGATCTTTTGTATACTTTCAACCCAGCGGGAGATGCTTCTGGTTAAATAGGCACAGAAGTATCTAATTTTGTTGGGACACTCATGTTGTTTTTACTTAGGTGGACAGTGCAAGTCTACTCAGCTCCAATTGGTCGAATGGCACTAATTTCCAGATGGGTATTAGGTTGCTGCCTTACCCAACTTCTTGAACATTACAAAACAATATTCAAATAATCTTACATGATACTGTTGACCATCCTGAACACTTTATTAGGTCATGATTCTCAAATAACCTAAAAGATACAATGAGGTCTACAACATTTGTACTGTAAGCGAGATCGTTTCTGCTGCCCAAGGCTAATTAGGGATGATTGGTCTTCAAACGTAGCATCTTCTGACTCTGGAATCCTATTTCAACAGGAGTAGGGATCAGCGGACCAAAAAAAAAACAAAAACAAAAAACCCCAGCGGGGATTATTCCTGAGAGTAATCTTTTTACTGTCAAAGGAGCAACCAGACATTTAGAAACATTCTCGTTATCCTCAGTTAAGTCCAGTGGTTAAGGCACCCAGGCTAGAAACGGGTAGAATGTGAATTCTAGTCCATCCTTAGCCATGGAAGCCAACTGGGTGACTTTGAACAAGTCTCTCTCTCTCTCTCTCTCTCTCTCTCTCTCTCTCTCTCTCTCTCTCTCTCTCTCTCTCTCTCTCTCTCTCTCCCTCTCCCTCTCCCTCTCCCTCTCCCTCTCTCTCTCCCTCCCTCTCCCTCTCTCCCTCAACCCACTTTACAGAATTGTTGCGGGGGGGGGAAAAGGAATAGGATAAAGGTGTGTTGGCTACATTCAGTATGTTACAGTATTTGAAAAATAATAAAGGTGGGATATTAATATAAATAAAACCTTCATATTCTTACATCTCATCGCTCACAAATGAAGCTTCCCTTGATGGTCAATAAAGGTAGGAAAGAAGGAGAAAGGAAGAACCTCATCAGGGCGAATAGAGAGTTGTAGCCTATAAAGATTATCTTGTTTTAAAGCGCTCTCTCTAAACGCCAGTCCAAATAAATCTGCACCTCAGCCTCGTAATTCAGAGGCACTCGAGTAAAATGCCCCGTTCAAAGGGCCGGGGGTTGGGTTTTTCGCGTTTGGGACTTCGGGGACCCGAGAGGCAGTTTGTAAGACGATTCAACAAGCAGGCAGCAGATAGTGGAGACAAAGGCAGGACCGCTCGCCTTTTCATCTCTGGCCTTGGCAGTGAGGACTTGGTTATCCCCCTTCAGCTCCTCGGGATCCACCGCTGCCTCTCTCCCTTCCCCGAGACTGTCCGGGCGCTCGGCCGGCAGGCAGGGCAGACCCGGGACTTCTCTCGTTGATGGAGTTGCGAAAGGGGGCGGGCGCGCTTCAGCCGGCCAGCCCAGCCACCAATCCGCTTGGTTTCGCGCCGGTTCAAGAGGGTTTTGCCAGGTACTCCCCGCCCCTCGCCGTACGCCCCCCCCCCCGCGTCGACATCCCAAGCCCCCCGCGCTCCGAGCAGCGTCACTCTTATAATAGGCTGTTGTCTGGAGTGGCGCTGGGGTGGAGGAAGAAGCTGCTCCTCCGAGGCCGCGCCTTCGAGCAAGCCGAGGCAGCAGGCTTCCCTGCTTAGCCAGGCGACGGTGGACGAGCGGCGGCGAGGGCAACAGCAGCGGCGGCGGAATCCAGCTGGTGGCAGAGCGGTGGGTGGAGATCCCCCGGAGCATTAGCCGAAGGAGCGGCGCTCTCCAGCGGCGAGCATGGTGGCCCCGGCCTGCCCGAGGCCTCCGAGTGTCCCGGCCGAAGCGCCAGATGAGAGGCTGCTCTGAGCCGGGAGTAGCGGAGTTGACTTGGCAGAAGGAAGGGAACTCTCCCGACAGGAACAATGCAGCACCCCTTGGATCTGGGCGCCGCCGCCGCCGCCGCCGCCGCCGCCCACTATTTCCCCGCAGATCCTTTCGTTGACCACCGGTCGCATCGCTATCGGAGCTTTATGATCGAGGAGATCCTGACGGATCACCCGGATGCCAAGAGCGCGGCGCCAGCCGGGGAGCTGCTCAAATTTGGCGTGAAGGCTCTACTGTCGACCCGACCCTACCACAACCCCTTAGGTAGGTCTTTCTTCGCTTGGGCGCTGCCTCTCTTGGTGGACCTGTGTGTATGTGTGTGTGTGTGTCTGTGTGTGTGTGTCTGTGTGGATGGGAGGGGGCAAACACCAGGTCTTCTTGGAGGGAGGGGCTAAGGCGGAAATCAATCCTCACAGGGCTTGCGGGAAAGAATATTCGCCCCCCAATCAGCCGTTCCTCCTCCCACCCAGCCCTGAAACCAGTGGTTTGGCTCCCATTGATCTAGAGCAGGGGTTCTCAACCTTGGCAACTTTAAGACTGGCCAAGCTGGCTGAGGAATTCTGGGAGTTGCAGTCCACAAGTCTTAAAGTTGCCAAGGTTGAGAACCCCTGATCTAGAGAGCAATTCCGGCTCCCTTCTCCCTCTCCCACCCCACGTACCCTGCCTTTGGGGTGTCGCCCCCGAGCTTATCTTCTCTGCAGCTGGAGACAGAAGCTTCCTTCTTTTCAGGAGCCCCCCCCCTACTCAACTGGGAGGGCCGGGCTGCAGCTGCGATCCTGCAACCAGCTGAGAGTTGATCTTGGGGGAAAACGCGGGGGTCTTTAGTGCTCTGCTGGGACGGAGGATCCGGTAACACCCCTTGCGGCTTTTTAGTTTAAATTGCCTGTCGCGGTGGAACAGACAAGAAGCATGGAGTAATTCTCTGAAAAAGAGTGACAAATATGCTTAGTGGGTTTAAACGAGGACAGCCTCATTCCTCCGAGCATTCTCTTTTCCACAGAGAGTAATATTTTCCTTACCATTGATTCAAAGCCCATGGAAAATCTCAACTCTTTCACGGCCTCTCCCTCACCGCCTTAAAAAAAAAAAAAAAGGCTTCGGGCTAGTTCTGTTCGGAATAAGGCAGTATCGACGGTCTTGCATAATATCATTCTAGACCAGGGGTTCTCAACCTTGGCAACTTTAAGACTTGTGGACTTCAACTCCCAGAATTCCTCAGCCAGCTGGCTGAGGAATTCTGGGAGTTGAAGTCCACAAGTCTTAAAGTTGCCAAGGTTGAGAACCCCTGTTCTAGACTCTGTCTTAAAACTTTCGGGATAGAGCGACGGCTCCAAGTTGACAGCTTTATCCGAGCTTGCAGGGAAAAGGTTTAAAAACAAAACAAAACAGAGAAAGCTTATATAGAGGTCCAAGGACCCCAACCCAGCTGGGGAGTGGAAAGCGACCAGATTGAGCCAAGCTGCGCCAGACTTCCTTCGGATGCAACTTCGGGGAGGTCGGTCTGCCGGGGCCTTTTCTGAGACGCGAAGCTGAGAGAGGCTTCTCAGGAACGAAATCCCTTCTCAAATTGATCTGGACCAGCAGAGGGAAGGGGGTCCCCGCCCCAATTCACGTTTGGAGCAGCGGCTGGGATAGGGAAGACCGAAGAGGCTTGGGCAGTCATATTGACACCTTTGAAAGTCCTGTGATCTCCTGGACCGGGTTTTTTTTTCCCAGGGAACACCTCTTTGGCCGTCTCTCTGCTTCGAATCTCCCCAAACTGCTGCAGAAGAAGGCCCCCAGAGGCCTGCCGAGAACTGGAGGAGTCCTCGGAAGGTGGCCCTGACTTTAGGGCAAACTAGGCCATTCCCTCAAGAGCAACCGGTGGGCCCGGACAAGGCTTGGAGGAGGGGGAGGGAGAGAGAGGGAGAGGGAGAGAGAGAGAGAGGGAGAGAGAGAGTAGGTGGTGTGTGTGTGTGTGTGTGTGTGTGTGTGTGTGTCTTTCTGGCCGTTGCACTCCCTCCCGTCCGTCGGATCTGCTCGTTGCCTTGGAAAAGCTAAGATGCTAAGAGCCTCTCAGCTGGGTCTTCTTGGCTGCCTGCTCCTTATCACCTGGTCCTCCCCATGTCCGAACCGTGAGTTGTACCTCGAAGAGAAACGGGAAAGCACAAGGATGTCTAGTCCGATCCTTTGGGCGGGTAGTTGCATTTGTCTGAGGTGAGCCTGAGCTGCAGCATCAGTAATCGGGTTCTTTCCCACCCTCCATTCAGCTGGGGGCCGAGAACCGCGGCTGGTTTGGTTTCAGCTGGTCCTCTCTAAATCGGGACCTTACACGCTTACATCTGACAAAGCCAGTCATAAGCGAGAGACAAGGGCAGATCCGGAACCGGCTGAAATCCGTCCAGCCTTGGTTGGAACCAGACTCTTTTCACAAGGTTTATAAAGCGAAATCCAAGGCTCAGTTCTGGGGAGTCGCTTGTTCCCTGCTTTTGCTTTGTTCCAATTGGAGAATGGCCCTGCAGCAGCCACGAACCGGGCCCCTTGTCCCTTCCCTTGAGGGGGCTGCTCATCCAGAACTCGTTTTAGCTTGACGGGGGAAAGGCGAGGAGCGCGCGCCGTGGAGGAGATTGCTCCGGATTTGGTTCAGATGGAGGATAGTGAGAGCAACCAATGTGCAAAACAAGTGAAAAGACCCGTTCAGATAAAAGGCCATTTTTCCCCACTACTAACACGGCTAGTACCGTCCTATTGTTATATCAGTAACGAGGACAGGGCCAAATCGCCAAAAGGTTGGCCCAGTGATATTATTTGTACAGCCCAAACGCGAAAGTGACAAGCCGCTGTAAAGAAGTGGTGTTCTATTCTTCTGTCTTTTTCTTTTTTCCATTTTGAAAATATCACCTCCCGGAAATAAGATGCGAATAGGTGGAGGCGCTTAGCATTAGATAAACGTTCTGCCTTTGAGAGCATTTCTGGAGAGCCTTTGCATTCCTGCTTTGGGATATGCTTTACGCAGAACCTATTTTCTCTTCTTACCCCATAGCCTAAATCCTTGCAACAATTCTCCATCCTGTCTTTATGTCAGAGCAAACGGCACTGGATATTAATGAACAGCCCCCTTAAGCCCCCCGCCAAGCTTTGCTGCTAAGAAAGGGTTGGACTGATAGCCAGAGGCAAAAAATGCGACCCTGAGAGGAAGAATTGCTGTAAGCTGGTTTCTGCAATGAAGGCAGAAAGATTGTGGGTCTACAGGGAGATTCTCCAGCTCTCTATTGATTAATCAATGGCGAGAATCCAGAGCGGAAATTCCAGAGCAAGACATTAGCAGATTTTGCCACTGGAACAAATCCGGCTGGATCTCCGCTCTGTTTTACATCGCCTTGCCGCTAATTTATCGTTGTCAACTTGAGTATCGCCTTTCAGAAGCCTTCAGGGGAAGTAAAATGGAAGTATTTCCGTGAAATGATTTTAAGCTATGCCTGTTCTTTAGAATATATAGCTAAGCAGGCTGAGGTTAGGATTGGAATTCGCCTGAATTTTGGAACTAGGGTTCAGGAATTAGTGTTCAACTTTCCTTGAGGCTTCTTGACCTTTCAAATGATAAGCACTCCAGAGTTTGACTTTTTTTTTTAATCAAAGAAAGAAAATAGATATTGATTGGATGTTTCCACGATCTATCTCTTTCCTCCTGACTTCCAAAAGATGTAAAAGAGTCTGAGTTATTGTGTCCTTGCTTTTTGTTACTGTTGGCTTGGTAAGTTGGTGAAACTAATGCGGCTTCTTTCTTCTACGTTATGAAGTCTTTGGGGGAAATTCCTCAAATTTGTTCAGTTCTGTGGGATTTGCTTCTGCATAAACTTGCCTGAGAAGACTCAGCACCAAGTAATAGGGCAAAAGAGTTCATACTGGATGTGTTCCACGTTCCAGGGATTTTAATAGGTATATTTTAAATGCACATAAAAGCGAACTGAATTAGAGAACTTGAATAGAACCCGTATTATTATGGTGTTATATGTTTACAAAGGAAGGACTCACTGGAGAAGGGCCTGATGCTGGGAAAGATTGAGGGCAATAGAAGAAGGGGACGACAGAAAATGAGATGGCTGGATGGAGTCACTGAAGCAGTAGGTGTGAACTTAAATGGACTCCAGAAGATGGTAGAGGACAGGAAGACCTGGAGGAACATTGTCCATGGGGTCGCGATAGGTCGGACATGACTTCGCAATTAACAACAACAACAATGTTTACAACAACGTGAAGTCACAGTTGCCAATTCTTCAGCTGGTGTTGACCTTCATAGGCATCAAGTTCTTCCCAAGAACCCAGGATGCCATTATGTATGGGCTAGTATATGTGTATATCCAAGCCTTTTGCAATTGATTGATGGACTACAAACCCAATAAATTGAACTGAACTGAATTAACTGATGGAAATTTTACCAGTGTGCAGATTTTCTAAGAGTTGCCCAAGATTTTTTTTTTTTTTTGTATAACACCCAGTGTGCTGATATAGTCAGTTGCCTAGTCAGCCAGTTATTTAGACTGGATTGGCATTTTTATCCATCTATCAAGGCCTTCCCAAGGATTTGGAATATTCTTATTCTTATTTTATAGCAATGGTTGGTGCAAAATTAGGAAACATGGTTTAATGCAATAATACAGATTTGAGCCCCTTTAGCGTGCAGTATTGTGAAACATTGAGAAGTAAATCTGTATGTTTTCAGTTGTACCTCAATTGAATGAAAATGTGTACAATTGCATGTTGTTACAAATGTACTTTTTTATATCCTGCTGCACCCAAAAGCAATTTATTTATTTCTCATTTCACCTAAAGATCACAGTACAGCTCTGATTATTTCTAAATTTATTTATACAATAGAATTGAAAGCTATCCTTAAGAAGCAGCTGAAAAGTTTCAGAACTGGAACTATATATAATTGTCATATATTTATGATATACGCTTGTGTCTGTACATTTGTTCTACAGTAAAAGGATTTATGCTTCAGTTTAAAAGATAAGATTTATAGGTTGCATATATAGCTGTAAAAGAAAATACGTGATTATCCATTTCCACATATATGATGAGAAAATGGTAAATACACATTTAATGTTGTGGGGTCCTTTGTGCTCTCTGAGCTTGGTTGTTTTCTTGTAGACATTTCATTACCAAACTAGGTAAAATCTAATTTCATTTTTGCCTAATTAAAAAAAATAAAGAGCGCTAGCTGCATTTTTTGAAAATTATTTTGGTACTTTTTTTTTTTTTTAGCAGCAGGGCTTGCTTGCTTGCTAGCTTGCTTTCCAAAAGACTAATCTGTTGCTGCTGGGACCAAAAGAAAGACGAAGAAAGAATTTCATAATTTCTGGGAGCAGCTTAATAAAATAATACCTTTAAGGAAGCCAATATTGACCGCTGTCTTAATGCCTCGCAGACGCACTTCAAAACCCCAAAACCTCAACAAAAACAGAGTCAATCCCACACTGGAAATAACTAGGCTTTCCTGACATCACAGGAGCTTATTTACAACCCTGGAAGGGTACCATTAATTTCCATAATCAATGGAAAATTTCACCGTATTGATTTACGATGGAAAGGCTCCCTTGAAGTTACCGGCTGCTGAATCCCTTGGAAATGCTTCCAACTAAAGAGGCCTGGATCGCAGCTTTAGGTCCTCGAAATTTGCGGTCAAGCAGCATCCGTGGGATTGCGCTGTCCTTACCACCCCTGTTCCAGAAGAAGCGCTTCCGACCCCCCCACCCCCACCCCGAAGAACTCGCAAGGGGGCTCCGCAAGGAGGCTCCGTTCACCTTCAACCCATAGATAGCCCTTCAAGTTTAACCCCAAACCTCAAGGGTGTTGCTTTACCCGCACCCCTGGGTCCCTGCAGCGTTGATTGCCGGCAGAAAAAGGCGCAGGGATTTGCTTGCAATGAGCACCGGGTTTTGGTTTTTTTTTTTTTTTTTTTGCAGCCAACTACAATTCCTCAGAAAGAAATCCTGTTCTTAACCAATAGAGCCAAGACCTTTAGAAGGTGGCGCTTGCAGCTTTGGGACACCCCACCCCCACCCATGACCTGATGTCAGCCTTCCTCAGTAGGAAGGACTAAATAGGCCACCACCTTGAGACTTGTAGAGTTTGAAGTAATGGGAAGGGATGCATGCAAAGGCACCAGATTGAGCCCAGAAAGGCACAACAGGCAGGCTTGGATAACTTTGTCGCTGTTCCCGAGTTTCTTTCCTACAGGGCAGCTCTTAAACCTGGAAAAAAAGAATGTGTGTGCCTCTCCTCAAACTCTTGCTTACACCGGTCAGAGGCTTGCGAGGTCAAAGGGAAGTCCTGCCGAAATCGGACAGCCCCCCCCTTTTTTTTTTTAAAAAAAAATCCGGCTAGTGGCTACCATTACTGTAGCCGTCACAGCAAACCCCAGACCAAACTTAACTGGGAAAAAAAAAAAAAAACATCTGTCCCAACCGGCTGCTGCCATAGTCCAACTTGTCCAGAAGGTGCCGTCCTGCAAAAGGGAGGCCCTTGCCCTCTTCTCCCCACTCCACCCCCGTTCAGCTGGTTTCTAAGGGGCTGCCAGAGCCCCGAGGGCATACAGAGGGCTGAGAATGGTGTGTGTGTGTGTGTGTCTGTCCCAGGAAACAGAGGCGGCTTGATGCGCCTTCTCGCAGCCTCTCTACCGTAGAAGCCCCATTGAGAAAGCTGGGGGTGAGGAAAGGCAGCGTCAGGGTCGCAGCTATCTTGTAGCTCAGTCTGTAGAGTCCACCGCTCCTGAAGTGAAACAGAAACGGGGGCTTCGTTTTGCCCTAGCTAGCCTCTCACAGGTTTTATTTCCCTCCCTCCCCCCCTCCCCCCCCTCTCTCTCTCTCTCACACACACACACACCGGGGTGGGGGGGGGTGAGGTGGGGATTTCTCTGTTTTTACCCGGCGTCTATCCTGTGTGTCACCCCCTCTGTCTCTCTGCTTTCCTCTCTCCCCAGCGGTGCTGAAGGCGGAGCAGGCGGCGGTCTTCAAGTTCCCGCTGGCGCCGTTGGGTTGCTCGGGTTTGAGCTCGGCGCTACTGGCGGCCGGCTCCAGCCTCCAAGGCGGTTCCGGATCCCCGCACCTGCCGCTGGAGCTGCACCTTCGCGGGAAGCTGGACCCGGGAGCCTCCGAGGGGGGCGGTAAAGCTAAGAAAGGCCGTCGGAGCCGCACAGTCTTCACCGAACTGCAGCTGATGGGCCTGGAGAAGCGCTTCGAAAAGCAGAAATATCTCTCCACTCCCGACAGGTGGGCATCCCCCGGAGGTCAGATTCCCGCGGGGGGAGGAATGGGGGGGCTTACTGTGTGGATGTGCGAGCTCGCAGGAGAGAGATCACGAGAGGGGTTACATCGAGGAGAGTTTTTTTTCCCCCAGATCTGCAAGGGGAGGATCTGGGAGGGGGAGATGGACACGACCAATCTACCAGCCGGTGGTCCAGTAGTGTATCATGGAAGAGAAAGTGTGTGTGTGTATCCGCACTTCCGACAATGGAGTCCTGAGTGAAAACCGGGGCCTTCTCTCGCATGGGGGGGGGAGTGGTAGAGGGCAGGAGGATTAAGGTTCCTTAAAGGGTTGAAAAAAAGCGAAGGTAGTCTGTTTATCTGCCCCCCCCACACACACGCATACACACACCACTCACTCGCTCACTCACTCACCTCTTCCTGGGATCTTAAGCTGAACCAGACAAGCACTTCCTGAGCAAGAAGCATAGCCAGGAGCTGCTAATCAAACTGCAACCTGTGCTCCACTTTCCTGGAAGCCAGCCGGCCTCTCAGGGCTGCTCCCCACTCTTCTTTTTAGGCTCCGGGCAGGAAGGAGAGCCGAGGGCTCTGCCTTCAGTGGGCCAGACACTCTTAAGAGCAGGCCATGTGGGAGAGGCAAGCAGAGCGGACCAACAATCAATGGTCTTTCTCCTCCCTGTAGGATAGATCTGGCGGAGTCCCTGGGCCTGAGTCAATTGCAGGTGAAAACCTGGTACCAAAATAGAAGAATGAAGTGGAAGAAAATAGTAAGTGTGCTGTTTTGAAGTTCAGACTATGAAATTTTCACCCAGCCTTTATTTACACAGCCAAACTGAGGAAGTCTACCCTCCTATCAATGGGATGTTCTCGAAAAATAGACCTAGGGCTTCAATCCCTCTCAGGGATCCCTTCCTTTGGGGCACAACTCCCATCATTCCCAACCGATATGGGCATTCTGCATTGGAAAAGCAAGCTGGCTGCAGGAGGAGTTCTTCTGGGAATACAATACAGAGGCAGGATTTCTCCTCCCTTCCTGGGCCCAGGCCTCCAGCCTTTGCCTATGGAAGCTGTCCCTCTACAGCAGTTAAGATTTCTGCTGGGTCCATAAGTAGCCCACCAAATGTGCTTTTTAAAAGGCAAACAGACTTTATTGGGATTTTGTTTTTGTTTTCTCAGAAACTTTCCTTTCTGAGAAAAGAGAGCCTTATGAAAGTTCAGAACAGAAGAAGCTTCTTGGATGAGAAGTGAAACATTTTCAAGGTAAAAAATAAGAAAGTCCAGCGGCCTTTGGAAAAGCACCTTTGGGCCAACCGTGACCTGGATGGTTGAGAATCTCCATAGACATTTAGCCGGGCAGAGCTATTTTTTCTCATCTCAAGGTCCAAAGCCCAAAGATTAAAGCCTGCTTGTAGTCCGTCACAAAAATAGGGGAGAAGGCTTTCGATAAAGCGGGAGCCAGCTGGTTTTGTGAACAATACAAGCCATGGCATGCTCAAGCCACAGACATGGGGCCAGGAGGAGACTTAGGGAACAGGGGTTATCCTGCCTTGGAGCTTTCATCTAGAGAGGGAGTCAAGCACTCTTTGGAGGCAAAAAGAAGATTCCACTGAACTCAGTGGGGGTTTTGATTAGCCCCCCCCCAAAATCCAACATTTTCTGACCAGAGCTATTAAGGCCAGACAGCCCTGTCTGCTTTGGCTGAGGGTGGTAAGAGATGGGGAATCTATCCCAAAGGCGCTTTTTCAAGAGGCAACTGGACTTTCTTGTTTTTCTTTGAATAGAGTAGAGTAGAGTAGAGTAGAGTAGAGTAGAGTAGAGCTGGAAGTGACCTTGGAGGTCTTCCAGTCCAGTCCCCTGCTCAAGCAGGAGGACATTTGAAGCGTTTCACTTCTCATCCAAGAAGCTTCTTCAGCTCTAAAGAAGTCTCTTGGATGAGAAGCGAAACGTCTTCAAAGGCAAAACAAGGTCCATTCGCCTCTTGAAAAAGCGCCTGTGGGATGATGAGAATTGTGGCCCAACGTTGCTGAAGGGCAGCGGTTGGAAAAAACTTTTTCCGAAGGAGCTAGTCTGTAACTAACCCGGCTGCATTCTTTCTGTTCAGGGAGAATCCCTGGTTTGAAAGGCAACGCCAGTCCGTTTCCTTCAAAACAGCGTTTAGAGAGTAGCAGCTGATTTTCCCAGCAATACCCGGGAGGAGGAAAGGCAGCCGCTTTCCTTAACCGGCACGTCCTGAACCCTGAACACAGCGTAACCTATGCTCTCGTCGTTTCAAAGTAACCGCTCGTAGCCCGTTTGCCACAGATGAAACGGTTGCTTATTTACCCCCCGTTTTTAATCCCATCCGCGTGGAAGTGAATTTGACTGAAACGGCGCCTTTGTTTTTCCACCAGCCTGAAATGCGAGGGAAGGGGGGGGGGAGGAAGGAGTCCAACGAAAGAGACTTTTCTCCACTTCAAGGTGTCTTGCTAGGTAGAGGCTGACCAGCTCGGCGTTTGCCTTTCAAGCTCGAGTTCAACACTCAGGCACCTTCTCCGCAAAGGCGCGCAGGAGGAAATAGAGGCCAAGGCGGCTTGGCTGGCCTGTTGCGCGGCGCTAAGCGCAACGGCGCCTTTTCCTTGGGCGCGGGGGCGATTCTGCATTTCCCAACCCTCCCAGAAAGCTTCGTTCCTCAGCGTTAACTGTGGTGGTGTTTGGAGTTGGTCTAAGTCAGACCCTTTGTGACCTTTAAGTGTGGGTTGTTTTGTTTGTTTTTTGTTTAAACAGGTTTTGCAAGGCGGAGGCCTTGAGTCTCCCACCAAGCCCAAAGGTCGCCCGAAAAAAAACTCCATCCCCACCAGCGAGCAGCTGACCGAGCAAGAGCGAGCCCGCGAAGCCGAGAAGCAGCCGGCGGAAAACCTCGACTCTCCCTGCCAGGTCATCCAGGAATAATAAAGGAGCGCCGCGTGCCCGCGGACTAACGATCTGGCGCCCGGATTGCGGATGCTGGACTGCTGGCGCCCGAACCTCCCGGCTTGGCCCGGAAGGGGGACTGGGACCTGCGGCCCTCAAGACTGAACCTCAGCCTCACGGGGCCTCCCTGAGCGACGAGGCCCCGCCGGCTCGCAATACTACCCCAATGGGTCGCCTGCCTTGAGCGCAGACGGCGGGGGTCCACTGAAGCCCCTGGGTTGCAGAGGTCCTGCAACCCTTTCGCCGCCGTTTAAGGAAGTTACCGCGTGGAAGAAGGCGACGAGGACGATCCGGGGATGGAGGCGACGGTGGACTCCGATTCCCAGTTGATTCCGTTGTAGGATTTCCCAGGCGTCTGAGCCCTTCCGCCCTCTCCCTGCGTGCGCCTAAGGAAGAGCCGCCCCCTGTTCTTGGGGGTTTGACCGTGGCTGTTCCCGCGCTGTGTAAGAGAAGGGAGGGGGCGGGGAGCGTCTCCGAACTATCCGGCTAACTCAGGGGTAGGCAACCTCGGCTCTTTTATGACTCGCGGACTTCAACTCCCAGAATTCCTGAGCCAGCTTGGCTGGCTCAGGAATTCTGGGAGTTGAAGTCCGCGAGTCATAAAAGAGCCGAGGTTGCCTACCCCGGGGCTAACTCATTTTACAACCAGTTTGTATGAACGTAAAGATATTGATTTTATTTCAATAAAGTATTTTATGAACGATGGGCCTCAGAGGCGTGCTGTGCGTTCGTTTCCCGGGATTATGCCGAATGCCGCCGTTTTCCTCCGCACGCCTCCTCGCGAGGAGGCCCCGCTGCGATCAAGGGAGCTTCCTCCGAGGTAAGCCCGCAAGTAAGTTCCTATTGGGAAACCAGCCCGATCGCAAAACGAGAATCGAGCACTTGCGAAAGGAAATTTAGCTGAAAGTTAGGCGCGCTGCCCCAAGCTCTGATCTGGGGTCCTTATCTGGGGTCCTTATCTGATCTGGGGTCCTTCTCTGCTTAAAGAGGCTGCTTAAGATCAACTTGGTCTGCGCTGCTCCGAATTGATTCAGAGCTGGGCTGGTAAGGATCTGAATGGGACGCGTTCAGAACATTCTAAGGCTTTAAGCTAGACCAGGTTAAAAAAAAAAAAAAACCTGGAAAACAAGAGTGAGAGCCTGCTTTTGCCTCCTTGCCAAGACAAGCGCAGGGACGTGCCCAGGAGAACCAGGGAGGCGCGCTCCACTTGTAGGAGACTTGGCTTTTCTCATTAAACCCACGGAGTTGCAGTTCAGCAAAACATACCACTGAAACAACCCCGGAACAAGATCCAAGCAGCTTTTACCCGGTGTATCTCTGTTACACCACCCCCTCCCCCGCCCTAAAGTTCTGCCCTGAAAAACAGTGAAATGTCGCCGGTTTGGGAACCTATCTTTCCCTTCTGCCCCTTGAGCGGAGCAGCTAAACCTCGTGAGAGCTCAGATCCCCAAAAGGCCACTAAACAGAAGTAGAAGCTAACAGGGCCCGCTGTTTTAAGAAGGGGCGTCACTTCTGGATTCAGTGAGAAACAAGTTTGATAGCGTTCAGGAACTGTTCTTAAATACATGCATTTAGGGCAGAGGTAGGCAACCTTGGCTCTTTTATGACTCGTGGACTTCAACTCCCAGAATTCTTGAGCCAGCTTGGCTGGCTCAGGAATTCTGGGAGTTGAAGTCCACGAGTCATAAAAGAGCCAAGGTTGCCTACCCCTGATTTAGGGTAATACTCATCACGAGAACTCTCTCTTTTCCTAAAACAAAAGAAATGGACTTCCGAGTAAAGAACCCCCAAGGCCATCAGACTGAAATCAGTAAGGCAAGCGGCTCGGGAATAAAACGTGGTCAGTTTTCCGAAAACTGGTTTGCTTTTGAGCGTTTTGAAACTTCCGCGTAAAGACAAAGCAGAATCTGCTTCAGTTGGTGCTTCACTTTTTAAGTGGAGGGCGGTAAATTTCAGCGGTTAGCTTTCCACGTTCGTGGACCTCTTCTTCCGTTTGCTTTGGTCACCTTCGCTTATAGTAATTGAAAAAAAAGCAGAATTGGCTAAAACCAGTCTCCGCGCTTTGCTCCCCTGCTCTGCAGAGCACACCGCGGCCAAGGGGCAGAGTTCATATAGAGACGATGGAAAGCCATTTAGACGTGGTCTAATGGATAAACTGCAAGTTAATTGAATTTATAGAAGAGGTTTAACTAATGGTGTAGTCGTGGAATGTATGGATCCAATGTATGAATGTATCCGATCACTAGCAACCCGCCTAAAACTTTAGCAGGGCCGCTCGAACTGTATATCCAGATGGATGATTCTAAGTAGCAGCAATTGGGTATTTTTTTTTTAAAAAAACAAATGGGGTGGGGCTTGTATAGTTTCCGTTTCTTCTTTCCAGCTCCTAGGAGCAGAATTAAGGCACTCCTTCCCTCAAGCCATCTCATTACCTAGCCCTGTAGCCTAATTTGAAGCTTGCAGGAATCCTATTTCCCATTTTAAGGCAGCCTGGGTGGCTTTCAACATTCCCTCTCCTTTTGGATTCTTTGTGGCTTGGTCTAATGCAAAGTTTTGGGAGAGACTGGAGTCCGCACATCCTTTTGTGACCCCCCAGTGGGCCCAAGGAAGGGGTCACCCTGAGCTTTACTTCCAATAAACCTACCCTCACCTTTAAAAAAACAAAACCTCCCACGGGGCAAAACCGAGAAAGGCACAGAGAGTCTTTTGGGAACTAGGGCGAGACAATCCTAAACACAAACACAAAAGCAGCTGAGCTGAAACCTTGCATTCTCCTGCAGTAAGTATGATTGCAGGGGGACCAGGCTTACTTCTTTCGTGAGCATAGGGTCCTTTCATCCTATATAGATTCTATAGTATAGAAAGAGGAGGCCCTTATTTCCAAGTATTTTGTAGTAGCCAAGATAAGCCAGAGACCAGCGGATTTATCGCGGTATAAAACATTTTCTGCTAACTTGGGCAGAAAGTTCCCGGTGTGCTAACTAAGCCCTCAGGGAGACTTTAGGTGTTGTACTTTGGAGGAAGCCCCCCCCCCAGCAAACGGGGCTTGCTCCCAATAAAGCAACAGAGAATAAAGACTCCAAAGAACTGAACGTCGACCGCTCGCCTTTGAGCCTAGAAAGGAAGAAGGTCGGCCATGGTATTGTTCGCGGAGGAACTGCAGTTTGTTTCTTGGTTCTATCTGCCTTTATGAGGCATGGCTTGTCCCTGGTTGTTTCTCAGCTGTAGCACCCCAGCTCGCTTATTCTAACTGGCCACATGCTGGGATAACACAGGGAGACAACAACCTCACGGTTTCCCTCCCTCTCTTTTGCAGACGTTCAAAATGCCGCCCACCAAGTTCCTCGTATTACCCTGGCTATCCTTTATTAACTCCAAACTTCTCTAGTCTGGTGTGCTGGACTTCAGTACGGCAGCTGAGAGTGTTGGGAGTAGAAATCTAGCGTATTCTAGGAGGACCGTAGTGTGTTGTTAGTCTCGAATATAATTTTAATTTATTTTTATCCCGCCTTTATTATATATTTTTTATAAACAACTCAGGGCAAGAAACATGCCTAATACCTCTTCCTCCTATTTTCTCCACAACAATATCTCTATGAGGTGGGCTCGGCTGTGAGAGGCTGGCCCCAATTCAATGCCTTCATGCCTAAAAAGGGACTAGAACTTGGAATCTCCCGGTTTCTAGCCTGCTGCTTGTAGACGAGACATGAAACGGGACGGTAGCCCCGGATACCTGAAGTTTGAGACTGGCGCAAATCCCCCCTCCGGTCTAATCTTCCCCCTTTGAAATGGGTGGCTTGAAATATCCGTGGCTGTAGGTCAGTGTTTCTCAACCCTGACAATTTTAAGGCATGTGGACTTCAACTCCCAGAATTCCACAGCCAGCAATGCTGGCTGTGGAATTCTGGGAGTTGAAGTCCACATGCCTTAAAATGGTCAAGGTTGAGAAACACTGCTCTAGGTTATCTAAGCGACGGGTGATTCCACAACCCACCTCCACCCCCCCCCCAAATAATCTTTCCAACAGCAGCCCAGGGTTTGGGGGAGCTGGCAAAGCCTCTCCGAAGACTTTCTGCAGGTTCGCTGTCTCCACTATCTAAACCCAGTTTGCATATTGAAAAAAGATGGAGCAGCCTATCCTGAAGGAAAAGAAGACTTCTCGGAACCAGCGGGGGAGTAAAACATGTGAAATGGGCTTCAGTTCTTAGCGCTGTCCTTGGAACGGACTCGAAGGCCTGCGGAAATCAACTCTTAGCCTGGGACTGCCCCGGTTATTGTTTGGACTTGCGCCTTAATCTTACACACGGAGGCTTAATATTTATTCGGGGTATGTCCCACTTTAATTTCACGGTGCTCTCATTTATGCATTCATAAACTTTACTGGCAATCCCGATCCCAAATCGCTCTTTCCACAATTTTATTCAGGCAGGAGCCTTCAAAACAGGTTAGCTGAGAAAGAGGTTTGGAGAGGGGGTTGGACTAGATGACCTCTTCCAACTCTGTTATTCTGTATTCTAGATAAGGTCGCTCAGACCTGGAGAGGCGGGTGCTGGGTGCTGGACGGCAGCAGCGAGATTGCGAAGAGGGGGGCGGCGACTAGAGGGCAGCAAACGGGAGAGAGAAAATATCCCCTTGGCTGCCATCTAGAGGTCATTCCGATTTCTGCAGCCCTACTCAATGTAACCTTTCCCGTCGGTGGAGAATTTAGGATTTCAGGGCTCAGTCTGAACGCGAGAGAGGAGAATGAAAACAAGCGGGGCGTGTTCGAACGGCCCTCTTAGCAGGCAGCCAGTCCTCAGCTGGCTATTCTTCTCAATAAGTCGTTAGAAAACTAACAGGAGATGGTGTTGGGTTCGGAAGGACGTCGCCTTTGAAGCTCGCGTTTTGGCGACCGTCAAGTCTGGAGTAAGCTGCCGCCGCCGCCGCCGCCTTTAAAAGAGTAATTTGCTTTGCGATCCATCCAGACACGTATTTGTCCTTGGCCCGAGGGGACTTGAACGTCAGAGCTAAGCAGCGGAGGATCGCCTCCAAAGAAGCGCGCAAGTGACTTGGGAAGTCGCAACGAAGCGGTAGGCCTGGAATGTGGACCTCCTCCTTCTCTTTTAGCTTTCGGAGGACGCTGGACCCGTTCAGACTTTCAGTCCGCTCCAGATGGTTTCCCTCGTTAAGTTGCTGTCCTGACCCCGAGTTTTCTCCAGTATGGGCAGAAGAAGCCGCTGAACTTTCAGAGGAGCTGCGTCCTGCCGGCCGGATCGACGATTAGAAAGCGCCGCACTCTTCCGCAGCAGCGGCAGTCGCTCCCTTTCCTGCCTTAACCCTGGGAAAGGCCTGCCTTCTCTACTATCGGCCCCAAGGGCCTGCGCCTAAGAACCGGGAGGTCGCCCAGAAGCCCTTTGTATCGTACTTATCGCTAGAGCAGGACTGACCCAGAAAAAATGGCGGTCCGAGCGCGCCTGTTTTCTCCCGCCAGAAGCCTCACCGCTTAGGATTCGCTTGTTCCCGGCCA